GGTGCTAGTCTAGCGATCTGCTCTAATGCAAGGGTATTCCAAGGAAGGTCTGGCGTAAACACCAATCTTCTGATCTATTGTACCAACAACGCAGCCACCTGGGTATCTAGGTCTAGGATGCCCAACCCCTCCTTGTCCTTTGGCTGGATCACCGACGACCTGGCCACCCTACTTGTAAGGTTTGAAAACTCGCTATTTCCTTTCCATAGCAGGGCGGTGATTTGCCTCTTAAGTGATTTAACCGCTTCTTTACTGAGGGCCCAAAGCGCAGGCCTATACCAGAGGGCCGCTAGTACTACGTTGTCGATTGTCAATGCCCTCCCCATCAAAGATGTTTGTCATTCCAACGTGTCAATTTCTCCAATGCTGGTTTGAGGATCCATTCGTCGTTCGATGCAGGCTTCCCCGATGTCGTCAGCATTATCACTAATACTCTAACTGGGGCATTATCCAATAACCATTTGACCCGCGGTATTTTCGACGGACGCACTCCTTGGTGATGGATCCACCACCCTAGTGTTTTGTTCCCCCAGTTGACAATCATATCGAAGACTACCGTAAATCGATCCAACAATTTCTTAGTTTCTTCCATATTCTCGGGGGTGGCGTCCACCATAACCGTCAGGTCATCCGCGAACATCGAGTAGACGGAGATCGCCTCCTCAAGAATAGCGGAAATCTATAAATTTTTAAGGTTTTGTTAGTATAGAGTTTGGCCGCTAATGCCTCCATCATAATTATGAACAGAAAGAAAGCCAAAGGGTCTCCTTGGCGGACCGACTGTTGCAGCAAGATTACTGGTGCCATTAATCCATTGACCTGAACGCTCATAGTGGCATTAAGATGTAGTATCTCCGTCCAGCGTCGAAAGATTGGCCCAATATCCATTTTTTGCATACATTTATCTAGAAAGGTTTCTCAAAGTCTATGAAAGCCACAACAACGTTGTGCTTGTCCTGCCTTGTTAACTTAAGGATCTTTTTAACCAGCAAAATATTATCGTGGATCCATGTCCCTTGACAAACCTAATCTGTGCCGGGTGGTTGAGGTCCTCTAAAACTGGGATCAAGCGGTTTATCAAGGTTTTCGCTAGCATTTCGTAAACAACTGTAAGCAAGGTTATTGGACGATAGTTTTTGATATGCATCAGGTTGCCTTTTTTGTGCAGTAAGGTGAGGACCCCCTGCCCTACCAGCTCCCTCATGTGCCCTGTTTCCCACACGTGACCGTAGAACCCCATGAGGTCTAGAACCATCAGAGTCCAAAACGTTTCGCAAACTCTTTTGGAAACTCGTCCACACCTGGGTTTTTTTCCTCATCCATGTTCATCAGGGCCGTCCAGATTCCCCTTTGGAGAGGGGCTTATCCAATTGCTCCCTTCGCTGGCCCGACAGGGCTTTCCTCATTGGCTCTAGAAAATTTGCTATCTCTTTTTCCTTAACGGCCCCCTCCGGTCCAGCGCATCGTGAGGTGAACAGGTCTTTGAAAAAGGATCTCGCAATCTGCATGCACTGCGGCGTGGAGGTCGTTACGTCTTGACCTCTTGACTGTGGATCGTAATAAAACTTCTATTATCCATTGTCTCTTCAGTTTCATGCCACTCATCCCTTGTCGCGTGTTCCTTCTCAGCGTCGTGTTGCAAAGGTCTGGAGTCGTTGTTGTAGGGCTTGTAATTCAGACTGGTGGTTTGGAAACACTTGAAAATGAGGGTTGTCAGGATCCTGTTGTTCGAGCTGTTGGACACGATTATCGACTTCCATTTCCTGTTACATCATCAAAAAAAACAAACTCAATTATTGGCGCACGTAGGTAGTCTGCCCTACTTGACAGTGCATCGGCAACCTTGTTGTACTCTCCTTTCACAAAATCTAGCTTGAAGTCGTATTGATCTATGACTTCAATCCAACGTTTAAGTGCATCGGAAATAATGAGCTGTCTTGATCCATTTGAGTGTCTGATGATCGATTCTCAAATAGAAGAACCTACCAAGCAGATAATGCCTCCAGTGGACAAGGGCTTTGTAGAGGGCGTAGAGTTCCCTTTCATAGGTGGACTTTACCAACTCCTTAGATGGCATCTTCTTTACTTGTGTACTCGATCGACCTCAACTTTTCATCTTCTTGTTGGGTCAGCACTACGCCAATGCCATATTGGTTTGTGTCAGCGGTCACAACGAATGACCTCTCCGGATCGGGGACCATGAGAATCTCATGATATGTGAGGGCGTACTTCAATCTTTTGAATGCAGCCTCGCACACATCTGTCCATTCCCATGGTGTGTCAAGGTGGGTTCGATCAGTCAAAGGGGAGACGACCGTATTATAATTCTTCATGAAATTTCGATAGTAGCCACACATCCCTAAGAATGATCTGACCTCAATCACAGACTCGGGTTGTGGCCAATCACGAATGCTAGCCCCTTCGCATCTTTGGGCTTTACCCCTTCCGCGGAGATTCCATAATCCAAGTACAAGATTTTAGTGCGACTGAATTTGCATTTCTCTAAGTTGACCTTACTCTTGTGTTGTCGCAGGAGTGAAAGTACAGTTTCTACATGCTGGGCATGCTCCTCGACTGTCCTACTGAAGGTAAAAAAATTGTCGAGCTTATCCAAGTAGTCATGAAGCACCCTATTCATGGCGTGCTGGAATGTACCCGCCGCATTGCGAAGGCCAAAGGGCATCACCACAAACTCGTACGGACCGTACCTGGTCTGAAATGCGGTTTTGTGCTGGTCCTCTGGACTAACGGCAATCTGATGGTAGCCAGACTTTAAGTCTATCGTTGTGAAGTACTTACATCCGTCACCTTATCCAAAAGGTCGTCGTGTGCGTGTGCGTGTGCATGTGTGTGTGCATGTGCGTGTGGATGTGCATGTGTTGTAAATTGTCGCCGCAACAGCCCCTTCTCCACCTAGATGAAGCAGTTTTACCTCTATAACAGACAATGAAGCACACTAAAGATGAGCAAATCCAGCATTGAAACAATTAACGAACAACATGAAGCACCATGAATCTGTTATAGAACTTATATAATTATATTGCCTTTTCCTTGTACGATCCTTTCTTCGCTTTCTTTACTTCGGTCTCTTGTGGGGCACCCCTTTTATTTCTTCTTGCAGCTCCCCTTTTACTGTATCTCTAACGTACAAGGCTCCCCACGTTGATATCGGTTGAGCTGCCAAGAGGGTCAGTCAGATTCCACAGACCCTCTTGCAAGCTATGAAAGGAGCCAGAGTAAGGGGGGAGGTATACTCCTGTTCATTTTTCGTCAGATCTTCAGCTTTTGTTTCTCTTAAACATGCTCATTTACAAGTACACGAGGGGAGGAAGGACAGAAGGGGGTAGGAAGAGTTCCGCAGCCAATGTGGGTGTTTTAGATTTCACAACAACAGCCCCTATTCCACCCCGATGAGTAGATCCAAATCAAAGCAGATTTGTCCTATTGCAGACAATGAAAACACCAGGCAATCTCTAACAATGAAACAGTTTTACCTCTATAGCAAGCAACATGGTGCAGAATAGACGTCTTCAAATCCCTTTCTTAACTGCGTTTACTTTGGCTTCCTTTGGGGTACCCCTTTCATTTATTCTTCCAGCTCCCCTTTTGCTATGCCTCTCCCATACAGGGCTGGCCACGATGATTGTGGTTGAGCACCAGCCGGCCACATCCTTGTGTGCCGTAACGGCACACTTGCACGTTATAAAAGGAGGCAGAGAAGAGGAGGTATCCTCCTGTGTGATTTTTCTTCAGATCTTCACCTTATTTTTTATCTGTTCTCTTAGTGTTGCTCATTCATATACATTTACTAGTAGTACACAAGGGGAGGGAGGAAGGGCAGGGGTAGGAGTTCTATAGGGAGTGAGGGGCAGTGGAGGGAGAAGGGATAGGGGAGAAAGTGGACTGGCAAAGGACAGAATAGAGATACGGCGAATCCACAGGGTTCTAAATACTCACCGCTGGAACAGTCTAGCTCTAGAATGGCACAAGGGGCCAGTCAGTGTTTCGGTTGCAGAAGATTTGGAGTTGAGGAGCAGCTGTTGCCTATGGTAAGCGGCCACTCCTACAAACCGGACAGGACTGGTTCAGGTCTGGACTGTGGAAACACCGCATCCAATTCTCGCAGTCGCCGTTGCTGCATCGAATGGCCCAGCGTACACAGATGTCAAAGGCTATGTGGCTCCTATATGTTAGGAACACAGAGGCACGCCGACCGCAATTGTAGAGGCATTGCCGTTCCATCCCGTCAATAAATTTGACATGACATGTCAGGGTGCCGTACATGAGTGCAGTATTGACTGTCATCATATCGTTGCTGCATCGAATGGCCCAGCGTACACAGATGTCAAAGGCTATGTGGCTCCTATATGCTAGGAACACAGAGGCACGCCGACCGCAATTGTAGAGGCATTGCCGTTCCAGCCCGTCTATAAATTTGACATGAGATGTCAGGGTGCCGTACATGAGTGCAGTATGACGGATTAGCAAACCTGGTTTAAGGAGTTACTCTAGCTATCAAGATATACCTAAAGTGATGGGAGGCATGGGTGTCGTTATACTTTGTGTGTGTGTGTGTGTGTGTGTGTGTGTGTGTGTGTGTGTATGTGTGTGTGTGTGTGTGTGTGTGTGTGTGTGTGTGTGTGAGAGAGAGAG